GTCAATGGTATTTCTTGCCTTGCTTATCCCCTAAAGTTGACTTCAGAGTCAAATAAGGGTCTTAAAGATCAGCCTACAAAATGTTATGTAAGTTAAACAATGATTACTTAATTACTTTAGCTTTTAATATTAAAATCAAGACAACACAAAGCCAACAAGTTTTACCAACAATCCTTCTATCAATTGACTTCAAGTATGGTACTGAGATATTTTTGTTGTTGTTGTTCCCTTGAGGAAATAACTAGTCTTTCACAGGAAGTTTTACCTTTCCCACTTATTAATCCTGTAGAAAAAGTCCTTAATCTTTCCACAACTCAGTGTTTCCATCTACAAAATAGGATTATCATGACATCTACCTTTTAGAATTGTTTTCAGAGTTAAAAGATAACTCATAATATTAGCAAAAGCTTTCTCCATAGTAAGGGCTCAGCAAAAATCAGCAATTCCTATTCTTGCTCTGTTGTTGTTGTTACTCCAAGAGTCTTGAGAGGGACAGCTTCTTTTTCTAGAGATTTTTGCTTTTGTTACCTAGTCAGTAATTTATCTGGAACCAAGGCCCATAACCATAACCATAACCAATTGTCTGTAAAATTCTTAAAGATAGCAAGACTATCCACAGCTTCAGGGACCGAACAGAGGATTTTTTCATGTATGTGTCTCCATGCACCACACCCCAAGGCAGTCCTACCCTTGAGCTGCCCTTCAATTTGACTCTATTCTCTCCCAAACTGGTGAGGTGGAACCAAGTATCTCCCCCATAACTCAGTCTCTCTTGCACCCTCCCGCCTCCCCTCCCTTTTCCTCCTCCACCTCCTCCCATTTTAAGCATCACACACAAACACTAGTGAATTCACCAATTTCACCTTTCCTAGACTACCAGTGCCGCAAGAAGCAAGTAGCACCCGATTCTGTCTGAGAGGAGAAAAATGATAGAAATTTCATCTTTGAAAGCTGATAATCAGGTGGAAGGGTGAAGGAGAAAGCAGTTAGAAGCAGATATTGCTTTGTCGTCCTGTATTCTGACCTCTCTGATCCTGGACAAGTTGAAGATCAGGGTCCAAAATATTCTGGTATTTTCCTTAGAGACTTTCTATGACCCTAGAACTCCCTTCTTTTCAGCAAGAAAGCACTGTTGTAATATCAGGGGCTCCTACTAAACATTCACTTCCATGATTACTTTGCCATCTTTCCCGAATAATTCTAAACTTGGAGTCTCCTCTCACAGCTTCAAAATGATCTTCCTCCTCCCACGGATAATCTGCACTCCCGTGTATTTCCAGACAAAGCCAATCTTCTCCACAAACCTCCAGGTCTCTAACCCAGTTCTCCCTCTGAGTAACATTGTTAAAGTCAAGCCATTTTTCTGCTGGTCTTCTCTCCTTTGTTCCCATGATTCTTATTGAGTCCCAGAACTCTCTCCATGTTTCAGGAGCTCCTGTTAATGGGGAGCAAGTGCAACAGCTGTGGTTACACGAAACCCTCATTCACCTTAGAGAAGTTGTTAAAGAGCCCCAACGCCTGAAAGAAGATGCCCTAAAGCCCAATCCAGGTTCTCCCATTCATTTACTATTTGATTTGGTTTCATGCAGCCCCTCTTGGGTCCTGATTTTCTTCACCTCCATCAGGGTAGGCTTAGCCTGGAAAGTTAAAAGGTAGCTTTTGTGGTGAGAGTAGACTTTGAGCTCTGTAGACCAGCACTCTCATCCCATAGTAGTGAGATGGCTTAGCCAAGGGCGCAAGCCACTCCGCAACAAAACAATCATTAACACATCAAGGGCGTGCAGGTCTGGGAGGTTCTGCTGAGCTCTTCATTCTTCCCAGTTGTTGTTAGACCCAAACCAGTTATCAAAAGCCAAGGTATCACTTTCTGGACTTTGTCAACCAGGGCCCGAATTGTTTACCTCTTCCCCACCCCTTAAACAATTAGCAGTGCTTGCCCTTCTTCGAATATTCCGGTAATTAAACAAAAGGAAAGAGGGATGAGTCAGAGATCTGAGACTTCCAAGCCAAGCTCTCCCTTCACGTGGTTCCTGTCACTGGATTCCCTGCTCACGATTTCATTTGTCCCCAAACTTCTAAGTGTTTCAGCTTTAATATCCCAGTGGACTCATGTTTGTCACCAACCTTTGATATTCGTCTTACTGAAGCTCTCATGTCAGGGAATGACACTTCTATGCAGAGAATTGTTTAAAGGTTGTTTAATGGAATAAGACCTGAAACCACTATTCATCAATAGTAAACCATATAAATAAGTAACATTCTATTTATACAATGAAATGTTATGCAGTTGTAAAAAGAAATGAGGATGCAGTACATATACTGAGCTTGTAATCCCCCCAATACATTAAATTTAGAAATCCAAGAAACATTGTACTCAGACCACTATGAATTACACCAGGAATAAGAATAGATGTGTATCATACATTTGCACGTGTTTATAAACTATCTTCTGAGTGATGTACAAAGGACTAGTTAAAGTTTTTACCTGCTTAGGAAAACTAAATAAATATAACATCATCCTAGTCTTTTCTATATTTTACTGGCAAAGAATAGAAAGCTGGATGATCCTCAACATTTCTTCCTTAGCATCAAATGCAGCAGAAGTAGATTCACGGTACTCTGTATAGTCCCAGGCAGTAGAAGTCGATTCACTGTGGTCTCCACAGTTCCAGGCAGCAGAAGTGAATTCTCTATAGTCTGTACAGTTCCAGGCAGCAGGAGGGGATTCCTTGTCAGTACTAGGATGATCAACATGTTTGTCTGTGGCTATCCTGAATTTAGGGCTACAACTCCTGGAAAAAAGGGCAGTACGTCTCCCTATTTCTCATCCCTCTGCTATAGCACTGAGCCAGCCATGAACTAAAGGTCTCAAAAGGGGTGTGAGTAGAGTCTCAGCCTCACAGTTCTCGCAGGGCACAAGTAACACCGAGTGGCAGCTATATGCTCTGCAGGGTATCCTCATCTAACTGACAAGGAAAATGAGGCTCAGAGAGGTTAAGTGATTTGCCCAAGGTCACACAGCTAGTAAGTGCTGGAGCCAGTCTGTCTGACTCCTGCCCCATCAACAAGACCCTGGGGAATGTAAAGCTTTCAGAGAAACACTGGATCTGGCCTTTCTTAAAGCCCTAAAGCACCCAGAGTTGCATTTTAACTAAATCAAACACTGTTGCTCTGAATCAACTTTGGCAGGGCCATGTTGAGATACGGATTTCTTCCCATTACTCCCACCCCCAAAACAAAGAGAATAGATGTTCTAGGTTTGGAGACCGAAGGAGACAAAACGATAGCTTCTGGAGCTGTCCTCCTGGTGAGAGTTCGGCTCTTATTTGGGGAGTGATCATCTCTCAACTGAAGCCAGCCTCCTTCCCAAGAGCAAGGCGAGCAAACAGAAGAGTGGCTAGCTACTAACAGGTACTGCTGTGTGGCGGGATGGATGTTTGCCTACTGTTTGATTGGGCAAGTGTGCAGTTCAATTTGGCTATGTAACAGGGGCTCATTTTATGAGGAAAGGGTAAGTAATTCCCCCAGAGCCTCACAAGCCAGAACAAAAGAGACGCAGCAGCCAGCAGAAGCTTTGGGGACTTGGGAGGAAGATAAGAAAAGGTCATGGCCACAGCTGTGCTTGCACTTTCTCAATTAGGCAACAGGCAGCAGTTAATTGCCTGTCGGTAATCAGGATCCCATTGAGGTATTTTAGATGTTTTCTAAATATGGAGCAAAAGAAATGCTCTCCATTGGTATTGACAATTAATTTATATGTGCCGAGTCTTTGAGAGTATGTGGAAGAAAATCTCCCTGTGCCTGGGTGTGGGAGTTTGTAGAAGTAATGGATTTAGGGGTTGGCTTACCAGATAGGCTCCAAAATGAAGTGAAGCTGAGTTCCAATACAGGCTCTGCTTACCTGTGCTTCTGAATCCTGCGCGCTAGGGATTTGAGTGAAACTTAGTGCATTTGTGGTGACTGAACTGTGGGGCTATAGATGTGTCAACAACCGAAATAATCCCCCTACAGTGCAGTCCCCCTTGGGTTATCTAGGTTTTAATGTTACAGCTGGCAGGAAAGACTAGGAGGCCTGGCTGCTGTGCGCTCAGGTCAAGAAGCATCACATGGTGGGTGGTGGGCCTTTTCAGTACGTTCGAGGACCTCTTTAACCCTAACGTCTGCCTACTTGGCAGATATTCACAACACAGATATTCACGACAGGAATGTGACAGATTAGACAAGGAGGTTTATGACTATGCTCCATTTTATGAAATCAGTGATGTCCCTGTAACATCACTGTATGTATATAGCTTTGTATGGTCATCAAAAAGATGTTGCTATTTACTGTCCCATTCCTTTGCTCCTTTTGTAAGTACCTTACAAATGTGTTTTTCTGACAACAATTTCAGTTCCAGGATGCTACAATCTCAAAAGGTTTACAAAGCAGAATATTATTTAACAGAAAAACTACTAAATTATTTGATGATGCTTTAAGAAGAAAAATACCTTGATAAATAATTTAAACAAAATATGGAAAAATATTTTCAATAAAAAGTTCAATAAAAAGTAAAAGTAACAAAGAAACTAAGTTCATAGTTTTTTTCCCCCATACGGCAGAATTAAGCTAGACGTTGTTACATAAATATGAATTCTAATTACTCTTTCGGTCACCCTTGGATTGTTATTTTTTATATAAAAAAAAAGCAGAACTTCCTTCATGCTCACCATGGAACATTGTGTCTCTAGAATGATAAGGATGGCTAGTTGCCCCTTGCGGGGAAGCTCATTAGTGCAGATCTGCTAATGACTCTTCAGAGCTGTTCACAGAACACAATCTAATTCTCAGCTATCTGTGGTCATGTCTTTTAGGGCAAAGTTTAGTGGGGGTTGGGTGGGGTTTGTGCTCGCTCTGTTGTATACGTACTAATTAACCAGGCCTTCCCACTTTTCTTGTCAGAGGGAGACAAAGCAGAGTCCAGCAACCATTTATAATTGCAGGTTGGGAAAAGTAGTGGAGAATGTCGCAGCCTTCAGGTTTGCTGTCTGGCAGTAACAGACAGCACAGTGCATGGCTGCCCGGAGAGGGCAGTGAGGTGTGTGGTCTGCAAACAGCCCATGGCTGAGAAGCACTGGGGAGTTCTCCTGGGGCCTAGGAGCTCACCCCTGACCACATCTATCTGAAGGCTAGCTTTGCCTCTCCTCATTTCCTCACCGGCCTCTTGTTCAGTTTACTACCCCCAAACAGGCAAAGCCATTTTCAATGTATGTATCTCAGTGGCTTGTAGAAATCCAATGAAATTTTCTTCTACCTGTTCTATCATCTCGAGGCTGCCTTAAAAAAATATGCAGCAGTTTATTTTAAAGCAATGATTGGGTTAGTATGGTAAGCATCTCTGAAAGGGAACAGAGTTTGCAAAGAAAAGGACCGTGGCCACTTTTAGTTCTTAGACATCCAGGTTTGGGTATTCATATATGTTCAACAGCTGATGAGCTAGAGCCTGTATTTAGACAGTCAGTAAGAAATCCTTACTGAGACATTATCTCTACTGTACATAAATTACGTTGACATTATCTGCCTCCAACTTGGTAACGTGTGTCTTACATGAATGGACTCCTTATCCATGTACTCTAAACTTACTGTAATCCCTCCGAAGTGCTAGCAGCCGTAATTCAGATACTGTGAATTCTTTGCCGGGCCATAGCTTGCAAACTGTTTTCTTTGCCTTAAAAAGTTCTTTTTCCATTATCTGCTTACATTGAAAAATTGCAAAGCTTCATATAATAAACCAGGGCTTGAAATTAGGAATAACATTTCTATAAAAATTGTGTGCAGATTTGCAACTTTTTAAGTTTTCAGCGAACTCGGTATATTTCAGAGATTGCAATTGTTGGATCATACTTTGATTTACAAGAAACTGACAGTCTGTCTTACAGAGTGCCTATAGTATTTTACATTCCTAACAAAAAATGAATGAGAGTTCTTATTACTGCACATCCTTAGCACTATTTGATGTTATTGGTATTTTGAATTTTAGCCATTCTAGTCCATGTGTTATTGTTCTTTAAAAAACAGGCGGGTGTGTTCCCTGGCAGGCTCGCAGAGCAGCCGCTAGTCCGACAAGGATGGCTGTGGGTCCCTGTAAGATCTCCAGGGTGGCAGGCTGGTCCCGCCACGCGGCCAGACGAGTCAGGCGGATGGGTACGGTGGATGAAAGGCTCATAGGACATAGTAAATAAGCATAAGGATAAACATTTATTACTTAAAAAGAAACAGAGAAACAGAGAGACAGAGATAGACAAACATAAAGACATAAAAACATAGAGACAGAGAGAAACACGTGTGCACACGCCGAGAGAGAAAGACCAAAGAGAGAGAGTTAAGATGGCGGCGAGGGACATCAGAAGTGGCTGGGGAGTGGGCGTGGTTAGTCCTTAAAGGCACCGCAAAGGAATAACATGTGTAGTATATGTATAGATAAAATTTAAAGTTATTTTCTTCATGCTTGCTGAATAAGATTACACTATACATCCTAACTTACCAGAATCCATTTCTGATTTCTGATTTATGGTGATATATACTATATATGACATGGATAAACTTTACTCCTACATAGACTTGGTAGCTCTAATGTCTCCTTAATAGTGGAGTTTGGCTGAGTTAACTAATAGTCTCTCAAGTTGGGGTTGCATGTTGGGTTATTAAGGTGGAGAGATGGCTCACAGTTAAGAGTACTTTATCCAGAGAAACCAAATCCAGTTCCCAACACTAACATAGATTCCAGAGTAACCATTGTATTCAGAATGGTATGCAAAGGGAAAGGATGTGGTCTAAAAATAGATAAAATAGGAATTTGAAAAAGATAGTTATTTTTTCTTCTTGCTTATGGTCATATTATAAAATAGCTGGTAAATGCCTGAACTAAATATGAATTCTCTTAAGATATTATATGGCCAAATTAAAAAGTAAAAAAAAAATCTAGGCTTAATAGCTCATTTTTAAAGTGAAGGTGTCTTTCAGAAGAGAACGTAGATGTTTAGATACCTGGCCATCTCAGTTACAGGTCTTTAAAAATAGAGGAAGGAAAATATTCAATAGATTTACAGTACCACGTGTAAATTCCCTCCTGTGGAACAGGCCTCAAGTCTAATCAGAACGTGGATTGGTTAGCTGTGTAACCTTAATGCCACTACTGCACTAGTGGGTACATCTTGCCATGCAGGTCAGTATTATATATGCAGAGTCTAGTGCTGGATTAGACTGTTGATGTCTTTTCCTCCCCAGCAGCTTTCATAGCTCCTTTTAACAACATGTAAGATCAACAGCAGTGAGAGAAAGCGTGCATTTCCTGGCCACTTGAGGCTGATTTCTTTATGTCTTGCTTCCAAAGTGAATGATGTCGTTAGCAATAGGGTCTTACCATCTATTTAGGGTGCCTCTGGAGCCTCTTTGGCCATTAACTTGTAGGACAGTATCCACTGCCTAGCACTGAGTCTTTCATTGAACAACCCGGGCCTTCTGGGAGTAATCATCATCACCCATGAAGGTTCCTTCTGCTTAGCCTCCTTATGCTTTTGATTAACTTGTAAACTAGTGAATTTCTGTAAAGTTTCTTCAGATATCCTTAGTTTGGATAGCCCACCCTTTACTGTCTTCTATCACCAATTCTTCTATCCACATTCAAACATTTAACCTCAAGAAATCTCCCCTCTCCTTGAATATAGGGGCTTGTGCATGGGCTCAGGCTCTCCACACTGAGAAATATACCCTCTCAATGCCTGTTTACATTAGAATCTCAAATTCAAATGTTTGATGAGGTCACATGCTCCGTTGGAAGATGGCAGCAGCTACATGGTTCCAGCTAAGTGTTGCCATGCAAGAACGTAGGCCTCCTTTTCCAGATGTTCTGCTTAAAAATAAATAAAAAGAAGTAAGTCACTGCATTTCTGGACATTTGTCTTTTAAGCATTATCAATTAATTAAAATGTTTAGGTTATACTAGTTAGGCTAAATAAAACACTTTGGCCGCTTAATAGTAAATCCTCATTCTGATGAAGGTGATTTCACAGAAAAAGAAAAGAAAAGGAAAGAAAGAAAGAGCCTTGATTTGGTGAATTTAATCGTCTGGCTCTTTGTCCCATAATTATCTATAGGTTTGGTTCCCGATTAGTGTGAGTACTTCTGCAGTCTTTATGTCGGTTTGTTCTCTATAACATAACCAAGAGTGTCTTCAGTGGTGAAAATGATAAGTAGTCTCAGCATCCGGTAGGATCAGTCTGTTGTGCAATAAGTGGAAAATCATTGGCCAGACCATGTGCTAAATAAAGAAAGTAATCAGAAGGTCATTGTCTTTCGGAGTCCTTTTCATGCTTGCTCCGTCACCAGTTCATGCATCCCCTGAAGGCCTTGATAAGGAATTTATATTTGCTTCTAAAAATATTAGTAAGCTATTGGAGGCTTGTGATCAGTGAAGAGACATAATCTAGTGTAATATTCTAAGAAGAATCCTCAAGAAGAGCTGATTGGAAGGTTATATCTAGGGCCACAACCTTGACAATTAAGGAAAATCTACCTTTACTGAACTCAGCCGTTTCCAGCGCTACTTGTACTTTCTCAGGATTGTCATTTTTATATTTAGACATGCATGCTTTTCTCTCTCCCCTCACCACAAATGGAGATGTTCTTCACTGCTTTTGAGTAATATATCCTAAGAAACTTGAAGGCCATGCCACTGTGAGCATTTTATAGAAAAGAAACCAATGCCTTTTCTGGTGGAATTAATTTCCTTGTATTCTTGCCTGGCCTACAGGCTATTATTCATCAGCTAGGTAGCAGAGATAGAATGTTCCAGATAAGTAATTTTCCCACTTGAGAGAACAAATAAACAATCTCGCAAGTTCATCTAACTTATCTACTGCTATGCTTGTGTCTTTCAGAAAATCCTGAAGGAAGGACCCCTGCTTAAGAACTGTAACTCCTTCCGGAGATGGAAGCTTAGATATTGTCTGATTCAAGGACAGAAGCTCCACTTTGCACACCACCCTTCGGTAATTATAGAATCCTTTCATCTGCATTAGTGGCTGGATGCCAAGGAATGTGTGAGTACGGAGAAGGTCATCAATAAAGGAGAAGTTGAAAGCATCTCTTCTTCCTGTAACTAATCCCTTTGGATCAAATGAGTGGTGTATTTTTCCTTTCCCCTTTCCTATGTCTCTTCATTTTCATGGATTCCCCAGTTAGTTTCTGTTTTGATTTTTTTTTTCAAGGCAGGGTTTCTCTGTAGTTTTGGAGCCTGTCCTGGAACTAGCTGTGTAGACTCACAGAGATCCACCTGCCTCTGCCTCCTGAGCGTGGGGATTAAAGGCATGTGCCACCACCGCCCAGCCATGGTTAGTTTCTGTATGCAGAATGGCCTACAAAATTTGTGGGGCCCAGTGCAAAATGATAATGCAGAACCCTTTACTCAAAAATCAGGAAAAATATCATTAATGGTACTAACACAAAATGTTTCCTATTTATACTAAAATATAAAACATTGGCTTATGGTGTTTTGATTTGGGATTTAATGTTATTCTAAAAAGATAATTTGTATAAAGTTTGCCATTTAATTTTCTTTCGCACCATTCCATTTTTAAATATAAATATAAGAGCATTTAACTTATAAAAAGAAGCACCATCGTTATATAATTTGGGCTAGTATATTTTGTTTTCAGCAGTATACAAAAACTAGCTCTTTATTTTTCACTTTTTTATGTGTTCACATTCTGCCAGCACTTTCTGAGTAAATGGAAAGGGCACAGTAGTTTGCCCCGACTTTCCTAGTCCTTCAGTGCCATCCTTTTCAGCATTAATGGTTGCATAATACAAGGACAGGTGAGGAATAAGAATAAATAGAGTAAGGCTCCCCGGTTGCTTGTTTCTATAGCAAGTCATGACTCCAACAGAACGTGTGGACTGTCAGTACCCACAGCTGCTCAGTCATAGACATAGCATACTTTGTACTTGCCTTACCACCATGATGGGATTCACTGGAATTCTAAGTGCAGGCATATGATAATACAGTTAGAATGACAAAACAGGAGAGGATGTGCAGGTGACATAGGCTTCCTGTATTTGTGTCACAGCCCATGGTCTTATTGGGCTTTATTTACAAAACACAAACCCCAAACTCAAATGATCGGGGATTTAAAGGTGGCAATAGCAAAGCTTTAGACCAAATCCTAGGCCGTTCTGAGCATGGAGTCTTATATGCCGACACAGGTTACATAGTGAGCAGCTAGCCTTGTCTATATTGACGGTATTGATGCTCTGCTGCTAGCTTGGGCAGTCTCTACCGCGTCAGATCTACCAGGAGATACAGGCTCCAGACTGGCTATCACAAGGACATAGTCAAAGACTGCCACCCAATAAATTAGGACTTGGTAATATTTATACTGCAAATTTCCCAGGTAGGCTATATTTTGTTATCTTATCCAGCACGAAGTTTATATTTGGGTAAGTCTGCTGAGCAGTCCAAGCCTTGCTCCAAGTCTACTGAAAAGTTTTTGGAAAATTGTGTTTCTATTTCGTTTGTTTTATACTTGCCACATGCTCTGTCTACAGAAATCATGTGACTATATAAATCCTAGCCCTCAAGACAAATGGTTAGATCGTAACTGCCAAAAATGTTTGTCAGTGGATGTGGATGTGTACCTTTTAATGTCTGTTTGCCTAATCAGTCAGACGGCTTCTTATCGTTCTCCTTCTCTATCTTCCAGTTTGCGCACTTTGAAACAATTGATCTGTCGGAAGTCGCCTTGGCAGAAAGCAGCTGGAGAAATCTTTGCCACAGTTTCTGTGTAAGTAAGATGGGGAATGGCTGGATGTGCACGGGCGGGGCTAGCTAAGAAATAGGGTCGTTCTATTTATTTGTTCTATTTTGGGGAACATCAGGGTTAACAAGTCTTCTTTGATTGAAAAATGTTATTATTTGTACAAATTTCTGCTAGCCTAATGATGGCGAGAACAGTGAATACTAACCATGCTCCCCATTAAAGGCTGCTATAAAGTCAAAGCTGACTTCAAGGGACAAGGGGCCTTTGACTACTATGGCATTCAATCAGTCTTCTGAAAGGTGTTTAGAAGTATCATTGGGGAGAGTTTCGAGAGACTGATAAGCCATAGGGAAAAAATAGAATAACCAAGGTTCATGACATAATTTCCCCTGGCATGGTAGGTCATCCATAGTGAAATCCAGTCCATGGTGAGGTTACGGATGAGAGTACTTCTAAGAAAGCAGAAGTGTTCAGGGCTTAGTGTCCCTGGGCCGTTGTACCGCTTTGGTCATTCACGTATATCTAAACCGGAATAATCACTTCAAAGCATCAAGTCCACTAGCCCCGAATGCTCCTTCCCACCGTCTCCAAAATTGTTTTTGTCAGCCCCATCAGTTGGTTCCATTAGGGTTCCGCTTGAGGCTAGGCTATCCTTTATCTTAGGGAAAGTCCAGGGCTGTTGCACATCAGATCAACTAAGAATTGGATCGAAAACAAAGGAGTGACTGTGATTATTCATTGTCCTAACCAGCTCCTATGCCTATCTGCTGCAAAATCAAGCACTACATGCAAAAGGAGACCAAAATTGCATGTTAGTATGGTTAGCGCTAGCATCAGTTTGAGGCATTCATCATAAAATAACAAGCAGAGCCCCTGAAGCAATGACTGACATGATAGCCAATTGTATTCTCTCTTACTATCTGCAAAAATACAAGTTCTGCTTCTGGCTGCATCACTAAGATCTTCAGCCCTGAAGCAGTGAGGTTCACCAGGCCAAAGAGTTTGCCATGCAAGCTCAGTGATCTGAACTCAATCCCTGGATCCTGTCGAGGAAGGAGCCTTCACACATGGTTTTTGCCACACATACACCTACACTCACATACATACATGTGCACATCATGCACACAAACACACAATGATAGATAGATAGATAGATAGATAGATAGATAGATAGATAGATAGATATTCCTAGTGAGATTCTTCCACTTATCCCTCCCTGCCAATGATAAAGAAAGAAGCTGGATTTTTTTTGACATCTGGTACGGTGCACAAACAGCAAGAGAGGGACTCTGTTGAAGTAAATACACTTCCCCTACTTTCCATAGAACAGCAGTGAGCAAGTAAACACTTTAGGCAAGCTCCTTTTAGAAATGGATGACCGGTAGTTTAGTGTTTAAGAGCATGGACTCAAATGGAGTCAAAGAATCTGCCTTCATTTTTTAACTTCTGGATGACTTTAGACAAGTTTTTTTAATTGCTCTTGTCTTCGTTTTCCTGGTTATGAAAGGGGAAGAAATGCAATGTCCATCTCATGGTACTGTAATAAAGACTGATTGAAAGAATATTTCTAAAAATGTATCAGAATAGTGTTTGGCACACATGAGGTAGCATTAAAGTCTTGATTACTACTATTTTAATTATTATTGTCTTGAATAGTGATGAGAACAGCTGGGGGTGGCTCTGAAAACTTAGGTCTTATATTCAAGCAGTGGTTGTGAATATACTTGGTAACTATGTCTAATTTTGTGGTGAAAAGCAACTAATAATATGATGTTTTGTTTAGCTTATCACACCACATCGAAAAGTCTCCCTGGCTGCACCCAGTCGGAAAGACATGGAAGAATGGATTAACATCATAAAAACTGTCCAGCAGGGAGAAATCCATACGGTAAGGCAACTGGTGGCAAATATACACAGCTCTCGGCAGAGTGTGTAGTCTTAAGGGACTACATTAGGGAAGTCGGTGCTCAAGCACAGAACTGCTCAACTGGGAGCAGAGACTGGCCAGCCAGGAAGTAGATAGACATCATTTGGAAACCTGTTTAGAACTACTCACACAAATAGGAAAAATTCAGTTGGGCTCAGATTCTGGTAAGCATGTAGCTTAGACTCCTCTATATTGGTAGATATGTCATGTTGCATCCAGTAAACGAAATCCATGACATGTATTTATGTAGTTAACTTAAACATCCATAATTGTTAAGAAAATTGCAATTAGCAGTTTTAATTACTGTCTTCAGAAGAAGAATAATAACACTTCAGAAAAGTGAAGCTGAGAAAGAGGAAGGAATCAGATCAAGGAGAAATAATCACTCTCTTTAAAAAGAAATCCAGGCTACGTAATCCTCCCACCTCTGTTTTCTGTCTTTCACAAAAGAAATGTAGAAGTCAGGAGAAGCTTATCCCCCACAGCAGTCCTGTGCTTGCTGCTTTGGGTTCTGTGGGCACATATGAGCTTTGCTCAGTTGATTTAGAGGACTGCGTTCTGGTGTCCTCCATCCCCTCTGGCTCTCACACTCTTTCCACCTCCTCTTCTGTGGGGTTGCCTGAGCCTTGTGAGGAGAGATGTGATGGCAATATCTCATCAAGAGCTGAGTGATCCAAGGTCTCTCTTTGCACAATGTCTGCCTATGCTTCAGGAGGAAGCTTTCTCTGATGATGTCTCAATAGTGCATGGATCCATGAGTAGAGCAGAATATCAGTAGGAGTCATTTTTATCACTCCTTAAGGTATTCTGGGATTTTGACCACTTGATGCTGTCACTATGATGGGGGTAACATCACAACATGACTAAGCTGGAGCCTTCAACATATCATGAAGCCTTCTTATAGGCCTACAAAGAGTTGTTCATTCTTTACTGCTCACTCTTTCTCATTCTCGTGGGACAATGCCTATCTCTCGGTTTACTTCTGTTCAAACTGGAATGTTTCTGACATATCATGTCGTATTTTCAGTTTCACAAAAGGTCGTGCAGGATATTTTGATTTTTAATTATTAGTTTAGGAATGCAAAAATCCTAGAGGAAAAACCATCGGAAAATAGATGGGTCATTATTGACGCCATTGAATTCAATACCTGGCTATTGACAACCTAGCCCATACTAGAAAAGAAAAGAATAATTTGCCTGCTCACTCTCTTGGAAGAACTGTATAAGGACCTAATTCAAGTCTGTGGAGTTGCCTCAGGGACCTAAATATATTGAGAAACACGTTCAGCTGCTAGAGCACTCTGACTACTAGTACTTTAGTATTTCATCTTGCTTGAAGCTTAAACACGAAATGCTTTTCTTTTGTATGTATCTCATCTCTGACAGTCTTTTCTGTCTTCTGTTGCCAGCAGCGCCTGACATTTGTGGTGATGGTGACAAAAGGTTAATCATGGATTTAGTGAGCTATTAAAGTACTGACAAAGTGGTTGGATAAGCTATTGGAAACTATTCCATATGTGTGTATGTGTGTGTGTGTCACACACACACACACACACACACACACACACACACATAATGTTCCGTTCTGGTGTCAAATGTGTTGGAAAAAAGATAGAATTTCAATTCCTGAGCCCAGTGAGTGTTTAGGTAGTTAGGGAGACAAGATATACACAAACATGCTAGTACTGAAGTGAGTTCTCAGATAAACAGATATTAAAGCTGTAGAGGAATGCAGAAGAGGAATGGATATGCATGTCTTTGGGGAAGAATTAGTAGAGAAGAAACTTGAGTCTGACCCTGAAAGATAAATGGGACTTAATTGGTGGCAAGGGTTTGGGTCACCAGGGAGTCCTGAACATGGAAACTGCTATACGAAAAAACTAATTACCAGGAAAAGAGAATCTTCTTGAAATACAATAAAACATGGCTGGGAAATGTTTAGGAATATGACCATGACAAGCAGGGTCAGAGAGGTGAACTGGGGCTAATGGCAGATGCTCTTCCATGTCAGGAGAAGGAGGGAAGACTTACATGCTCTTCCATGCCAGGAGAAGGAGGGAAGACTTACATGCTCTTCCATGCCAGGAGAAGGAGGGAAGACTTACAGTAGGATAACATTTCAACTGAAAGATTGAAGAGAGAGAGTTGTTCACTTTAGAAATACAGACTGGAGCAGCTGGGGAGATTGCTCAGTGGCTAAAACTTGCTAATAATTGTGAGAACCTGAATTTGGATACCAGGACCCACATAAAAAGTCCGACATTGCAGTATATTCTGTAAACTTAGAGGTGCAGAGGCAACTGAATCCCAGGAGTTAATTGACTAATCAGTGTAGCTAAGACAGCAATGTTTAGGTTGAGTGAGAGACCCTGTCTCACAAAATAAGTTAGGGAGCAATACATGTAGATGCCTGATCCCCTCCTCCACATTTGCACACAGGTACACCTGCACATATGTATGTCCATATGTGCAAACGTGTACACGCCCATGCACATACACAAAACACAGAAGGGATTAGACAAGGGGAAAACTAGAGGCTAGAACTTCAGGGAGGAAGTTACATATCACCTCAAGCAAGACAAAGTTAAGTCCCAGAAGGATGCTAGAAAAGATAGTGGAGTAAGAAGAGAAGCTAAATACAAGAAAAAGCCAAAGTGCGATAGGGATGTAAGTCAGTGGTAGAACATACCATGTGAGAGGCCTTTGGTTTCATCTCCAGCATTGAAGGAGTATGGTAGGAAAAAGGTTTTGGACAGGGAAATAAGATTCCAACAATGTTCTAAAGGCCCAATCTTAGAAATTTTCCTTTGTGGCTTTTCATTTTTTCCATTTTATTGAAAATAGATTCATTTCTCATACAGTGTATCCTGATTACAGTTCCCTATCCCATTCCTCCCAGTTCCTCCCTACCTTTCCTCCCATCCAGATCTACTCCCTTTCTGTTTCTCATTAGACAAAAACAGAGGTAACAACAAAATGTAATAAAAGAAAACCAAAAAAACCATAACACCTAAGTTGGCCAAGACAAACAAACAACAGAAAAAAAGAGCCCAAGAGTAGGCATAAGAGTTAGAGACCTACTTATTCACACACTCAGCAGTCCCTACTTATTCACACACTCAGCAGTCCCTACTTATTCACACACTCA